AAATGTGGATTGTCCTTAGATTCAATAAACATATTCTAAGTTTGCTTTGAAAAAGAGCAACTACAAAATTGACAAATTAATTAAGTTTTATATTATATACTTTTCCTCTTCCAGGGATAAACACAGACCCAAGCTTTCACTTGATTGTGTAAAAAATTTTTTTAGTTATGATATTAATATTTTTGTTATTATATTAAGATCCGTAGATTTAACTACTTAAATTTATATCAGAGACCTGCAGAGGTACCATTTGTACGGCCCGACCCAGATTAAAATATTTTCGGCCCGGCCCGGGTTTAAAAATTTTAGGCCCGGCTCGGAGTTTTTTAAAATTATATTCGACCTGGTATATACAAAAAATTCATTATGTATTTTATCATATTTTTCGGCGAGTATTATTATTTAATAAGCGAGTATATTAGCTAATCTTGTTAAACGGCTCGTTTTGAGCCGATTTTTAAAAACGGCTAACTCAATATTTTCGCCAGAAAAATATTGACTAAGCCTCGAAATTTCAATACCATATGTCTAGACCTTTGCTACTTCTATGAGCAAAATTTTCAGGTTGCATAATATTTTTCTGGATAAAACACTGAGTTAGCCGTTTTTAAAAATCGGTTCAAAACGAGCCGTTTATAACAACATTATTATATTTTTTTTATTCTAAACAGATATTTAATATATTACAAATTGATACTATAAAAAATTTGCGTAAATAATATTTTGAGAATATACTATGTAATATGTATTTATAAAAAAATAAAAATAATATTTTAATTAATAAAAAATATATATTATATATGTTAAAATTGTATTAGATCCACATTTTTTTACAGATAATTATATCACATTTTTTATTGATTATAGTTTTATTTTTAATCATAATTTAAAATTATATGATAAATTACATTTTTATTTTTAAAGATAAATTAAATTTTTCTTATTCACTTTCAACAAAAACCATTTCTCTTTATATATCCTTTTTTTAAACAATATAAAAAAAATAACTAATACAAATTGATGTATAAAAAAATGTTAATATAAAATTTTCACAAATTAAATTTAAATACAAATTGATATATAAATCAATTGCCAAAATAAATAATAAAATAACATCGATCAACATATTCATCATTCCACCCTCCAAAGAAATTCGGCTTATGATTTCCTTGGATAAATTGAGTGGTAACGTCATTAACATTCATGATCACCAAGCAATGCGCCACCCATGTTCATGGTGCAGTCTTCTTTTCAAACCGAACGATGGCTTGGTAAAGTAAAGACAACCCCTAGCTAATTTCCAAATCGGATCGCTTGTGCATGGCATCGGACATCTAGATTCCTTTCGAGTAAGGTTTATTTTGTCGTGCTTCAGCCAGCAATTAAAATTTCTAGTCGTTGCATCGATCTTGGCTCACGGAATTCTCCTTGAAGGTATAATCTTAGGCTAAGCATCGGGCTTCAAGTGAACTTTCTCTTGTCTAACCATTTTGGGTTATGCGTCCTCTCTAATTGTCGACCTATATTTTGACATCTGTAAGTCTTTTTTACTGCAAATCTAATCTCTAGATCAAAGTTCTTGTTCATTCCTAATATCTTTTCTTTAATAATAAATAAATAATGAGGAGTTTTTTTAATTGATTTAAAAAAAATGTAATTTTTAAATCATATTATTATTTTCCCATATAATTTTTTTAATAGCATATTATATACCTGTAATTTCCATTTTGGTCACCTACTACAATCAAGAGAGATGGTTTGATGTTAATCAAATAATCCAAAAGGGCCTTGTAATTTCTAATGCATCCTGATATAACAAATATTTTTTAGAAATAAAGATTTATATGATACCTCATCAAAACACATGAATTTTTATTCATGATGGAGCCATAATCCTTAATACTGTCGCTAACCAAAAATATCGGTCTGTAGACTTTTATTTGCTTAGCAAATGATATGATCTTCTCCTTGATATAGAGTAAATCTCTCCCTATATCAATCGTATTAATTTCAGTGATTGTTTGAGATAGTTCATCGAATTTGTAAGAATAAATATGTTTTTGTCGGAAGATGTCACTGTCATTTCCCTTTTCCCCATAACATTTATTAGCATTAAACGCCTGAGAATTTAGGTATATATTTTCGAATTCCATCTAAAACAAATTTTTAGTATGTATTAAAAGATGTATTTTGTAAAATATTAAAAATATAGTATATTTAAAAAAATTATTTAAAAAATTTTGAGATGAAATACTTAACTTTATATAGTCATTTTTTATAAAAAATAATTACATTTTTTTAATATCTAGTATATTCGAGATATAAATGATCATATTATAATAAAGTATATATAATCGTGTCACCTTTGTCCGAGTTCCAGTTACAATTAACCATCAATTCTCTTCTTGAAAATGAAACACTTAAATGAAATAAATATTAATATTAATTAAGAATCCTTTAAATTCAATTTCACACTTTTTTATTGTTTGCATCATTAAGAATACTAACCAGTATAAGATTATCTTTTCGAGATCATTCTCTACATTACTCACTAAGAACGTTTTTAAAATGTTAATGAAGGTGTGGAGCCACATACGTCCTAGCAGGGGGATCTTATCACAATCCACTAAAATGGCCTCCAGTGTATGTGAGTTTCCTTCATAATTAACGTTCACATTGGCAAGACCTAATATCTTGATAGCGCTGCCGTCATAACCAGTGAGTCTCATGTCCGTCTTACGTATCGCAGTTATGCCTACAATCTTAGCTGTCAACTTCGGAAGTATATTGTACCTAGTACCGGTGTCAACCTACATCAACATTGGTATGTTGTTGATGCTCACTGTCACATTGTACGCGTCATATATGGTATCCTAGACCCCCAGATTGTACACTTCCAAATTCTGCAGATTATATTCTTTAAGGTCTGTGTTTGAGTCGTCGTCATCATTAATTACTTCGATGTTCATAGCATGATTCGTATTCAATTGACAATCACGATCTTTGTAATTAGAAGATCTATTGTAAGTATTATTTTCATTTTTGTACTGATTGAGCCTCGACAAATATTTCGGAAAACTACTAATATTTTGAGGGTTGTGTCTGTGATGACCATGACGAGAATAGGTCATCCTCAGGGCTTTGATGATGGTCACAATGATAGTCGTGGCGATTGCCATGGACGTTGTATCCTCTATTGTTGTATCGATCGTCGTGGTAGTTATATTGCGATTATCGAAACGGTTGCGGTTATAGTGACAATTATCGTAACTTTGATCAAAACGATTGTCGTGGAAGTTGCTGTGCCGTCTGTTAAATCGTTTATCGCGGTCGTTGTCGTAGCGTCCGTTGAATCGTTTGTCGCGGTCGTTGTCGTAGCGTATATCGCAACGTTCTTCGAAATGTTGTCCGAGGCGATTGTCATTGATGAACTGGGGTCGCTTGATGAGAGATTCACCATGTGCATGAGAGTTCTGAAAGGGTTTTGCGGTAACGTAGCTTTTTTGACTCTGCCCATGTGATTAACCTCTTGTACACCAGGTGATTTATTCAAATGAAACAATTTCATCGCCCTTGATGCCACTTGGCATCGCGGTGTCTTCCTCTAAACCTAAATTGTAAATGTTTTCTATGGTCATAGAGTTCCTGACCGCTTTCCTGACATCTTTGGAATTCGAAGATACTCTCACTTTCTCAATAATTTGCTGAATGCCATTGAATTTACATTCTTTATTGAGTCGTGCTACGCGTGTGACCCAAGCCGAGAACGTCTCCTCCTTGCCTTGAGTGGTAGCATAACATATTGACAGTTTGGCATTCTCAATCTTCGATGGATGTTGTAGCTTGAATTTGCCAAGCAGGGCGATTGGGTCCTGGTAGACTGCCTAGGTGCAAATTGCCCCAATGTTATTGAATTCGTCATCTGGAAGACTTCAAAGAAACAAAGCGGCCTTTTCTTCATTGGAGATCTTGCTGATGTCGAAGAAATTCTGCAATTTCCCTATGTAGGCGCTGTCATCGCTACTAAATTTTTGGGAAATCCAGCTTGTCGAATTCAGGTATATATGTGGAATTGTTCAAAGCATCCATCGTAGGAGAATTATAATTGATAAAGGCATGAAATATAATAAATGTACATTGCAAAATCAAGATCAAATTTTGAGATATTACTTACGCAGAGTTCAGACGTAGATAGGCCTCCATGTTGGAATTGTATTAGATCCACATTTTATTACAGATAATTATATCACATTTTATAATGATTATAGTTTTATTTTTAATCATAATTAAAATTTTATTTTATGATAAATTATTTATTTTTAAAGATAAATTACATTTTTCTTATCCTCTTTCAACAAAAACAATTTCTCTTTATATATCCTTTTTTAAACAATATAAAAAAAATAACTAATACAAATTGATGCAAAAAAAAAGAAGTTAATATAAAATTTTCATCGATTAAATTAAAATACAAATTCATATAAAAATAAAATCAATTGCAAAATAAATAATAAAATAACATCGATCAACATATTCAACAATATATTATATAATAATGTATTTAATTCTTTGCGTATTTATTCCATGGAAGGAAACTATAATTTTATTATGTAATAGATACTATGAGTGTTAGCTAGTGTAGCTAGTGTTAACTTCTACCAAACATTATATTAATCATAATTATATATAAACATTATAACCATATCTAATTGACGAATATAGGCCCGGGTATATTTTAAAAATTCAAAATACGGCTCGGCTCTGGTACCCGTGCTGGACTTATGGCCGGGCCTGCAGGTCTCTGATTTATATATTATTTAGGATATTATGAGACGCATATAAGACAGCTGCCATTAATCACTTTCTTTCTGCTTTAATAAGTGACAGAATGTAGAAAGATGACTTGTTCACGTTTTTAGTTCATTTTTTCAGCGATGCCCACTCAAATTTTGTTAGACAACTCCTTGTCGATGATAAAGAGCTTTGATAATGAAATAAAATTGGATAAACTATCCTTTGCGAAACAAATGCTTATCAGCATGTTAGAAAATTTGTTACCAAATCAAAATATTGAACTTATATCACTTGTAAATTTTATAATTATATATTTTTATTTAGTAATATTTAATAATATAGACCACATTTTCATCGGATTTAAAGCTAGTCGCACCATTTACAAAAAATTATGAAATGTTGAAAAATAAAATAAGTAGTGTGAAAGTTCAAAACAAATGCTCTCTTATTGCTGCTTTAAATGACCTGTCTTTAATGCTTTTAAAAGAATGGGGTACAAATGAAACATTTAATGTAGGTAAATAATTGATCTAATTATTTAACTTACATGTGCCTAATTTTTGTGCACACATAATTATATTGCTTTATTTGATTAACCAATAATTATATATTTTTTTATAAATATATATAATAAAATTAGTAATAGATTAGCCAAAGTTATGTCCATAATCCATAATTTTAAAAATATTTTAAAAAATGTGAGCTCTCCATAATTTATTTGCCAATGGTGTCACTAAGGAGAGGGCTTTTGAACTCCCATCATAAGAATTGAAAAGATAAATTTTTAGGCAAAAATTTAAGAAAATAGTGTTTTTAAGATTTTAAGCCTTGACTGGAATAATATGGTAATACCCTAGCCATCAACTCCATAATTTTATTTTCATTAAAGTTATACAGAATTTTTGTTAAGCAATATTTATGACATATTTATTTGTATTTATTATAGTTTAAAAAAATATAATTATCAGATAATAGTTGTTTCTGATGGAAATATTGGATCTGGTTATGGTTCTCTCAGAGCTCATTTTCAAACCAAAACACAGAGGCCTATAAGTTTTCCATTCCCATGTGCATTTTACATCTTACTTATAAGTTAATGAAAATTTTAATATAGTTATATTAAAAATATTGTAAATTACTCACTTTTATAGTTTAAAAAAAGAATAACATTATTTATGATTTTTATTTAAAAAATATTTATTCCAAAATATCTATTGGAAATGTAAATTATTTGAACTTGTATCTACATTTAGACAAAATTTATTTGGCATTATCTTTACTTCATGAAAAGTCAACTTAAATAATATGATTTTTGGATGACCATATTTAAATTGAAATGAAACTTGTCATGAAGGCTAATATTTTATACAAATCAAAATTTTAATGCTCTATCCTAAGTTATGGACCTTTTTAGTTCGATAGTAGCCTTTTCCTCTTTTAATCAATCTTTACTCAAATTTTTTTTAGTCTATAGTAATAAATTTAGATCATTTTATAGTTCTCAAAATTCTCCTTAAGATATTACAAAATTACTTTAAAAATAAATAATTTTTATGGAAGGTGCCCCATTAAAAATGATATATCTCATGAAATGAATATTAAATATTTAAGTAAAAATATTAATAGAGAAAATAATTTAGAAATAAATAAATATATTATAGGTGGCGCTATCGTTAAAAATAATAAAAATATATTTTCTTATTATAAAGTATAACATTTTATATTTCGAATAATCATTTTTTATATCCCTCAAAGAATTTAAAATCATCAATTCAATCAATTTTTTTATTTATAATTTTTTAAATAAAATGTAAATATATTGTTGTAACCATTTTAAAAAAACTATATATTCTAAAAAAGATTCCCTAGGGCAACTAAAAATATGATTTATAAAAATCGAGTATTGACTTTAAACGATTATAACATTATGATGATTAAAATTATAATAATAAACCACTTGAAGAAAATATATTTGAATTCTAATTTTAACAGACTATGTGTCTAACTAAAAGAATTAGGTGAATCACTAATTAAAAAAAATATCCTACAAGAAAACTAAAAAAAATAACAAAAACTATAATCGTTGATAAGGTACGAAAGATTTAGATGGTCATAATAAAAATGATTATCTTCTCAAAAATTTAAAACAAAATTATCGAATTCTTCCCAGAGTTAAGAAATATAATATTCTAACAATTTTGCTATCATCATATAAAATAGAGAAAAAATTGAAAGTTTCAAATATTATGGCGAAAAGGTCAAAAAACTTATATAACTTAAAGGTTTTATGTCATCTCCCAATATTAAACCTGGCGAAACATTACCTACAAACTTTGTATAGAAAAATTTTATTCTTCGGATAAAGTAAGTAGTATGATGCCATTCAAGAAAGATTTTAAATGTATTATAATTGATGGAGGAAAAAGTCTAGAATAGGTCTAAATAATTTAAAGGAATTATACAATCGATTTAAAGAAGTGAATCCTTATATAAAAGTCAGCCTTAAATTCTTGGATTTACTTCTAAAAAATTGCATATTAGCAGAAATTAGCAGAACTCACTTAGTCGTGTCTGTACAATACACCTGATTTATATCGATGGTAAACCAAGTGAGCCATTACAAAAGTATATGCAACCCAACACTCTAGTTGATTTTTGGGTAAATATGATTATTGCCCTTAAGCGTTTTCAATTCAGAAACAATAGAAGATATATTTAGGGAAAAGGGCATAGATCAAATAACTTTTATACATACAATGACTATTTGTTAATAGGACTACCCTGGAAACATTATAAACCGGCTGAAGAATTTATAAATCTTTTTGTAGAAAAAATTGCACCCTTTTTACTCCATTCACCATATCATTTGAAACTTAAATTTAGAAATCCTAATGAATATGCTATAATCTGTAACTTTTCGGAAAATTATTCTCTTATGTGATCCATGATGCTGCTCAAGAATTTCATTGCATAATGATCAACCCACAATCCATTTTATGGTAGCTTATAATAATATTGATGGTAACTTAGAAAATATTAATTAGGTGCTAATTTAAGAATCGCGTCATCACGACGCTTTGCTGCTTTTATATCAAAATCGAATTATAAAATTAATTTTTTGACTGATATTTTGGCCGCAAGCCTAGCAAATTATATTATTGTTCTGATGGATCAGCTGCAAATTATAAAAAGAAAAAAAATCTGTTTTCATGAAATAGATTTCTGGAGAGATGAATGTCATTTAAGCCACATTCCACAACAAGGTACCATGGCATGGTCTTATAGTCATTGGCCTTCGTTCCACCTTAGAGCGTTCCATTTCTTGATAAATTATAAAACCGATTGATTTATATAATTTTGCCTTAAACGATGTTACTAATTAATTTTATATATGTGATTAGTTAAGAAAATATAACCTTTTGTAAATAATATTAAGTCAAGCTTGCCCAATTTCTAGACTCACACATTGGCGTACGCAGCGGGGGGGCAGGGGGACAAATCCCCCCCAAAGCCAAAAAATGCAGATGCCGGATATATTTTTCAAAAATATTAATGTTTATATTAATTTATATTTGTTAATATTTATTCCTATCTCATATTAAATATTTAATTACATTTATTTATCACATTCATCTATTAGTTATTTTATCAATTAATTTCGATTTCAAGTTTTCATTGGCGTTATATTTACCAATTATTTTCAAATTTCTATTGGCATAATATTTATCTACCATTTTCATATTTCTAGTCAAATAATAATTTTTCTGAAACTCCTTGTCCAACAGGGAGAAAGAAAGTGCAAGTGTGTCTAACGAGATGGAATCTCCACCATCAAACAGTAGCTGCTTTTATGGAGTTAGAAGAACCGATTATTAAATTAAATATCACAATGGCCTGAAAGAAATATTTCCTCAGAAGCAAGAAAATTATATGATTCAATACTTATTTCAATTTTTTTTTCTCATTAGAATGTATTATTTAATTATACAACTATTTTATATATAACTTTTCAATAACATGGCATTGACTTGATTAAGAAGATGAGATTAGCGGAGAGCATTTTATCAGAACTCAAGGAAATTAGGGCTAATGTTGATGAAGAATTTCAATTTTATATGTTATTGTTCAGTCAAAAGGAGAGCTTTCCTATTTAATATTTGTTTCACTCGATTTGCAGCAAGGCAAGCTCATCGTCAAAACATTAGTATAAGATCAGTATAAAAGTATTATAAAACTATAATCCAAATAAATGAATTGTTTTTAATTCATCATGCAGCACATACCAATCTGCAGATATTACTTCCACAAAAGCCTTCCCAATCTTTTTCAGATGGTGATAGAAAAAAATAATATTTGTTTGATGCCTTATTAGCTGAATAACTATGTTTAAAAGAATAACTAAGATATAGTCCCAAAAAATGCTATTAATTTCAAACACATTTTAGATTTTATTTCCAATGTATTAAAATGATTATTTATATATATATATTAGCAACTCTTCTCATTAGTAAACTAATGAGAGAACATTCTCTTTTTTAAGAAGTAACAGAGCCCTGCAGAGATACAATTTGCAGGGCACGGCCTGGATTTTTTTTCGGCCTGGCTCGGGTTTTTTTTTAAAGAAATTTTCAGGCTTGGCCCGGCTTTTTTTAAATTAAATTTTTCAGGCCCGGCCCGGATATTTTTAAATAAATTATATTTATTTTTGATTTTTACCTCCCCCCCCCCCCCGACCAAATTCCTGTGTACGCGCCTGGACTTACATGATAATTTCTTTGGATTTCACTTAAATAAAATTATTTTCAATAGTCAAAATATTCACAATATTACATTATGTAGATGATATTTAATGAAATCAAAGGATATGCAACAATATGATGATTTTTAGTCAGTAGCTATGATTTTACATAAAAATGAAGTATATAATATCATTCTTACATCCGCATGGGCCCATCACCTCTATTCTTTTATCCAACAACTCCAGAAAAGATATGGTTAACCACTTGGAGCAATAATAACAATGGTAGATTCAGTGATAGCTATTGAACGTACATATAAATTGTCTCCTCTTGAAATTCAATTAAACACAAAATGGAATAAGATTTTCTAAAAAATGTTTTTTCCCAATATTTAATATAAAATAATGATTTTTATTATGATATTAATTATTTTTTTAAACAATAGTCTTCAATAATAACGATTGCTTTATGGCAGAAAATCTATTGGTTAGGTATTGGAGGTATAAAAAATATTTATTAAGCGTTATTTATAATATAAAATGTATATTTTTATTTAAAAACACATAAAATTCTCTTTAAAGATAGCTCCCTCAATAATTGATTTATTTATTCCTAAAATTTATTAAAAAATTATTAACATTTTTACTTTAATATTGAGATATATTGGTAATAAACACATTTCACGAGGTTCATTGTTTTACCGGAAATACAACGACATTTAAAATATTTTTAAAAAATTTTTGCTTTTTCTCTAGCAGAAATTTAAGGGCTACAAATTTATATATATGTTGTTACTTTTGACCAAAAATATTTTGAGTGTTTTGAGATTCGTTAAAAGAGGGAAAGGCTCTCATCGAAGGCCCATAACTCGGGATATATTTGAATTAAAGTATTAAAATTTTGATTTTTATATAATATATATAATTTATTTGACCTTCATACCAAGTTTTATCCATTTTTTGGTCGTCAGAATCACCGAGCGATTTGTCATAGGAATTACCTGGATTAATTTAGAAAAATTATGGGGAAGAACATTTTCTGTGTTGGCAATGCCAGATAAAATGTTATTGAAGGGTGTCTAAAAATTTATAATTAGGCAAACTCCTAAACAAGGGGTTGACTGAGATCAGACACACCTGCTACATTTAATGAAATTAATGAGTTAAAGAACGCTTATAGCTGCAAATATTAAATATTATTGTTTTAGTAAGAATAGTTTATAAATTTTATTGAATTATATTGTAAAATATTAGGTTGTGAATTGAGTCTAAATTTTTTTTGCATGTTACAGGGAAATGAATCCAAGAACAAGTCACAAAATTTAATTTTGGGGAAAAAAAAGAATATGATTTTATATATTAATCGTTAATGATAACGTTGAATATTTTTTATTAAACCCCTATCTACTTGCTTGTCATGGATGCGTTAAATAATATATTGGCATGATTTCAAAGAGAATGAAAGATCTTAATGATTTCTAAGATACACGAAACAACTTTAAAATTTTTATTAAATATTTGCTAGGAAATTTTTTTTGAAGAAATAAGCTAACTAGAATGTTCAGCTGAAGGAAATTTTTTAATTGAATGAGTTTTTTTTAAATTAAACAGGTTTTTGAAGAAAGGAGTAGAATTAAACATAGGCTAGGGTTAATTAAAGGTTTGAGAAATATGGGTTAGCGTTAAGGTATATTATATTATAAAAATGTCATGTGTTTTAAATAGATGAATAAAAATTTTAAAAAATCAGCTGTTCTAACGGCAATTTTCATGAGGTGGACCATAATCCTTTTTTCATCGTTTATATTTATAATTTCTTGTCTAGACTTAAAATCTAATGAGAACGAGTGTAGGACCTTAAATAATTCAAAAAAATCAAATCAAATGTTTTCTCTTCTTACGTTAAAATTCTAATTTCTTGGAGATTAGGGCAAGCATTTAGGCCGTGTCTCATAGTTCGACTTATTAGATGTCAGCTGTTTCGCTTCAACTAAAAGTTAAAATAAAAATTGCAAGGTAATCTAAAAATAAAGAAACGACGAACCAGAACGCAGCCTTCCTAATAGTTTAATTCACTAAAGTTCGATTTATTATTTATTTTTAAATAAAATACTTTTTTTTTAAAAAAAACCAGACGACATTCAAAACATTCAAATGACACTTCCGCATTACGAAAAATTGGCGGGAGAAATTAATACGGTCAATCGATGCAAAATTTTTTACCCCTTTTGGGATGAAACAATAAATGGTCACAAAAATTCTTACCACGGGGAAGATATGAAATCACCTCTAGGTCGTTCTTTGGAATGCATGTTCGAAAAAGTTTTCTTGGAATGCTTCGAACCTCAAGTATCTCAAGTTATGTGAGTCATCTTAAATCAGTAAATTACTACTATTAGTTGGTATCAAAAATTGAATTGAGTTATATTTCATTTTTAAACAAAATTATTACTTTCAGTATTTTTAAAGTCTATATATTGGATAAATTTATCTTATAAGTCCAATACATAACAAAATTTGTCCTATTTCTTCCAATAATGATTTTTCATCATTAAAATCAGAGTTAGCTATTTGACAGGTCGAATACGATTCGGTCAATTGACCAGTCAAATTCAATTAAATGTTTATTATGACAGTATTCACAATATTAGGTATGTGTGATAATAAATATACAAAATATATTTCATAAATAAATGCATATCATTAAATTTGGTAATATTTTTATTCATTTTTGAAATACTGTTTTGTTTTCACTTTCTATGGCAGATTCGTTTTCTGGTTCAATTGATTAATCATTTTCTTTTTTGTTTTAATTAATCATAAATTATTATAAAAGTTAACTAATTTTCCAGTAGTCAAAGTTTTAATTGATTTCCATTCTTTATATGAATATTGCTTCAGACGGACCAATTTTTTTCTGTAAAGGAAGTTTAACTTGAAAGAGTTAATGAGATATTTGATATTTCCCTTATAGGATAAGTAGTAGGGAAAATACTACATTTATTATATTTATTTTTTTTAAATTAACTATTTTTTTAAATAATGGATATCTATAAATAAAATAATTACTTTTTCAGGATCCCGAAAAAATAATTGTAATGTGTTTGCAATATATTGATTGAATGTGGTTAAAGCCGATTTATTTTAAAATTCTCTAAATAGATCTCATATTAACCACATTACCCGTAATTAAAGGATACGCTTTTATAGGATTCAATTATTTAAATTATATTTTTAAATTGCTATATAATCTTGTGGCAATTTCCTGGGTATTTAGAAACCTAAAAAATATAGGAACCGGTTGCCATAAAATTTATACTTTCATTTCGGATACTGATCCATTCTTCTGAGACAATAGATAAATGTGATATGTATAATATCCTTAACCTTCACTTCTATATTTACAAGAGCTAAGATGCGGTCCCGTCACCCACCTTCGACTTTGTAAATGATAAATTGGGCGTATTCTTTTTTTAAAAAAGCTATGGTTTTTGGTCATATGAAAAGGAAAATTGCTTGCGAATACAGCCGTTGTAATCATTTCACCAAGTTTTAATTTTGTAATCCTATCTGCAAAACCTTTTTAAGCTAGATTGTTTACTTTTAATATTTTTGATTTTAGATCGGTCAGAGTTTGTTATGATGGACTCAAAATCAAATTCCTGGGAGGTTCTTGGTAAAAGAATGTCACCCAAGTCGATTAAGGCTGTCATTATGATTCAGTTCTTCATCACATTTCACTACCATTACTATAAATATTACTATTTTTAATTGGGGATTTATAAAGCTTCTTTTTAGTAAGACTAAATAGATAGACAAGTTTATAAAAAAAATATTTAAGATGTATTTTATTAAAAATAACATTTTAGAGCATTTGACTTTTCAAATATACTTGTCAATTGACCTTATTTGATTGGCTTGCCAACCCTGATTTAAATTTTAAGCCAATAAAAAATATATTATTTTAACAAAATTAGGCTTTATAATAATTTATAATATTCTCTATTCTCCATTAAGCGGGCAGCATCACTACTTTTTTCCCCGCCCGTTTGCACACTCTGGCTCGTTAATTTTTTTTGCCCAGCCCAAAAAAATTCTCAGGCTGAGCCAGGTATTGCAGACCACTGATCGGTTTACCTCTAATCATACAACGTTAAATTAATGGATTATATTTTTGCATCTTTTTATAGTTGTGGTAATATCACTGGAAAGGCCAGCATATTTCCTCCTATTCCCCGGTACATACAAGAATTGTATTTAAATGATCACGAAGATAACCACGAAACGAACTCGGAAGAAGCCTTAAATTTGTCTCTCCATATACAAGGGTTTGTCGATTACCATCAAATTATTTCTCTGCCGCATTTCACTAAACATTTACTTTTGCCAGTTGTTACTTCCAATATCGGTTAAAAATAATTTGCATTTATATACATCCCTTTTTTTAAAATGTATTTATACAATACAAAATTTATTCCTAGGGGTATAAAAATAGCACCCCTTTATAGCATCTGTTGATTATTACTTCTCTTATTTTGGATAATTCATCATAATCCAAGTTCATTCATTATATTGTTGATAAGTGTAAAGTCCTACCTTTTTTAATAATAATATAAATTCACACTCATCTCTATTTATTTTTTGCATATATAAAATTTATCTTTTAGATTCGAACGCCGATAAATCTAACAATCCTTCTCCAGCTCAGAAGATTCCCTCATTCCTGGTACTACTACACGGCAGCTTGAAAATTGAAAATATGGCCGCACTTTGCCGAATAAATTTAAATTGTGACGAGAGAAATTCACGAAAGTCAGAATGCTCCCTGATTTGGTTTGGTTTTTTATATTCTTCCTTTACTTCCTGCGAAAACAAGAAAAAATCTAATCTTTATTTGTCGACCCTACCTATAGGTTTCATCCATAAAACAAAATTTATAATATTGATTTATGGATCCAAAATTTTAATGAAAGGAAAGATTAATAGTTTTAAATAACGATGAAACATACGAGCTTTTAAAAATAAGGTATATTCGAAAACTTTATTTTTGCAGTGAGACCTGAGATACATTAATTTACCATATATTGTTTATAAGTAGAGTCCTTGCACAGGCCTGTCCGAGTCGATCCGACTGAACTCGGGTTGGTTAGACCTAGGCATTATTTCTGACTTGTTTGGAATGTATAATCATTTTAAAATTCAAAATTCTTGCCGGAACTTTGAACCCGACAACATTTTCAATCATTTTGTTTTCTTAACGTTTTCTAAAAAAAATAAATAAAATTCCCCCTCCCCCCTATTGTTTAATCATTTTTCTTCTTTCCAACCTACTTTCTCGAGGGTCCAATTATTTATTTTATGGATCGTATTTGGATCTATTTTTTTGAAATAAAATTTATCAGATTGGGCTAGACGCCATATGTCAAAAGACTTTAGTTATAAAATTATTTCTAAAAATCTTTTCACATTACATCGTTATATGATTTTTTATAGGATTAAAATCCCCATTTGTCTTCGAAATTGTGTTTGAGGCGAAATTCTCTTGTGCTTCATTGACGCTTTAATATTGTTATTTAAAATCACTATTCTATAAAATTGACCAAAAGTGGTGTTAGAAATAAAAACAAAATAATGCTACCACATTATACCATTATTATTTCTTTTGTTCATTTTCTTAAATATAGGTCCAGATCCCTCCCCGACTCTAGGACGCCTTCTTACATCCCTCACTCTTCACGACGCTCATAATTACGAATATCTCCCCGCCTTAGATATCACTCCTTCCACTCTACCACCTTCTATCTTGATACCGAACTCAACTAATGTTTCTAACGATTCTAAAATTAACACCTTATACGATTACAGTTATTCTCCGTACACGGCTTTGGCTAATACTCAAGGCCTTCAAGCTGCTTTCACCTTTAAAAGATCTTACTCCAGCGCTAATTCTAATTCCGATGCTGATTCTTTGCGTTGCGCTCGCCTAGCTAAAAAACTTCTATCTATTACTACCCGTGTGGAATCTGCGGAAGAAGCGCGAAAGGTTAGCGGAAAGTTAGAAGTGATTTTTAAGGAGATAGAAAGGCTGAAATATCGCGTTTTGATTACCTCTACTGATCCGGCAGATTTGAATAGGGCGTTAAGTCCAATTATAAAAGAGCTAGAGGCCACGAGATATGACGGAGTTGAAGATAAAGAGGAAAGCTCAAAAGGAAATTATCCAGATGGTCGTCAGGTTTGGATTGAACTGAAGAAAGCAATCGAGAATGCTTTAGACGTAAAAGATGATGAAAATAAACCAATTGGTATGGAGATTTAAATGGTCCTTATAAGATATTTATTTTTTACCACAAATACACTATTTTATCTATATTCTAAATTATTATTTTTAAATTTAGTTTTTTGAAGTTGTAAATGAATCATATATAATTTAATATTATATTGTTTTTATCTTATATGTTATATTCATTGAATCAAAAATTATTTATCAAGGAAAAAAATATAATATTGAACTTTAACATGCTTTCAAATATTTAGTAATGGTTACCTCTTTTTAGATCTTAGCATCCAAAATTCTCCGGTGCTTCAAACCTTTTTTTAATTTCTAACTGATATTTTCTTAAAGATATTTTTTTTAGCATAATACAAGATTTATTTTTTTTAAAAAAAGGGTATTTTTAAAATTATAAGGGTTTATGCTTCCAAGGTAATATATATATATAACGAACCGGTATTTTATTTTTTCTCGCTTCAATCGTCAGTCACGTTTGGTTTATACTACATACAAAAAATGGGACTTTTTAAAATGATGTGGAGAGTCTAGTATAGACATTCCGACTGGGTGCATATCGCTGGTTCGATTTTTAGTTTGAAACAGTTTTTTTTTCTAAAGCCAATCGCTTAAACGAGATTAGAACAAGGTTTAAAAGTTAGAGGGACATCGATATTTAAAAAAATAATAGCATTTCGCAGTAGATATTATAGATCTGGAAATCCCAACCCAAGAGGCTCCGAACCGAGTCTATTAAAAAAATAATTTCTGGACTAAATATGATATCAGTGGAAAATTGATATTTATAATTCTTGCAAAAAAACAAGGCACCAATATTTTTTTTTATTAATAAAAAATTTTTTAAATTTTTTTTATATTTAAATAAATTTAAGATCGCCTTGGGTGGACAAATTATTTTTTTTAATCTCGGATCGGGCTTTTCAGAATAAATAAAAAAATTTTTTGCACCGGACATGTAAAATTAGACCCGATGCTGATCACTAGTAGAGATACTAACAAATAATGTTAATTCTGGAACCAAACTTTAGCAACTTTTAATGTTAACTTCCAAGAAGCGTTAAGGAGGCGGGGTGAATTAGATAAAAAATTCTGTCTAACTTTGACGTTGTCATCGATAACTGTAAAAAAATGAAAGAATTAACTCTTGTAAAAAATATATAAGAAACCAGCCTCATTCATTAATTAATTACTTACATTTATGCATAATAAGCGATATACATAGCTAGAACGATTATGTAAATGAAAAAAGTTTGCATTAAATGATTATATTATACAATGAGCTAGTGATCCTGCATAGATCCTAATTTAAGTCCATTAAATATTTCTAAAAATAATTGATCGGCCTGATTCCAAGCCAATTATAAATATAAATAAATAATTGATATATTTCGTCTAGTTTTCGACAAATAAATAAAGCTTAATAATTTACGTATATTTTTTTGTTTGATATAAAATTAAGCACAGCTTTTGAGGATAGCCTATTTTGGCCTTTTTTAAGTTATTTTTTCTAAGCGGTAGATTTTTGATTTAGTTAGATGATTATCGTGCATGATGAAGCATTTGGAATCTTATAATCTTATGGAAATTCCTTGAATCTTTTGTCGGCTACGCGTCCAAACATTAATTATATGTGTAATTTTTAAAAAACTACACTTTTAATGATAAGAATTTATGGGGACGTCGCCCATCACCATATTAAAATTTAATTTTAAAATTAAATTGTACAATAACTTAAATAAATTGCTGTTCGGCAGCTAAAGCTGCCATAATTTACGAAATTAAACTCAATTCTTTTTTATTTGTCGGAAAATTGGTTAGAGAACAAGGAGAGAGGGAGGTGTATTTCAGATTTTGTAACAGACTAAAGTGACCATAATTAGTATACGCGATCGAAGCCCTGAAATTTCTAACATTTCTCTCTTCCACGGTTGCAGCTAGTCAGATAGTGTCCTTACTAGAGATCGCCACCCCGTTAAAATATTTTGCATAATTTGTCTTGCTCAGACCTTATAATAATTTTGTACAAGTTGTCTGGCTCGATCTATAAAAATATATCGCTCAATTTATCCAGGTTTGTGCGAAAGTTCTGCTATATTATATTATATGATTCAGTTAAAACCCAAGCCCTCGGTATTTTTCTGAACTGAAGCCCGAACCCTTTTTTTAAATTTAGGTTTCAGGGTCCAAAGCTTTTTCTTTTTTTCGATATATTTTTATTATTAAACTATTATTTATTTTAAAAACTATGTTAAAAATAATAAAATATCAAAAACATGTAATTTAATTTTGGAACAAATATTTTTTTTATTTAATCAAAAAAAAACATTTTTTGTGAAAATTATTTTTTCGTAGAATCTTTTTTATTATAATTAGAAATGACAAAATCACTAGATAAATTAAGCTTTATTTAAAATATGTTCTCATAGATAGCTAAATCTCGAGGTTACATAATTTTATTTTGGCTATAATCTTAATCCGGCCATTTTTTAAAAACGATCCAGATTGGGCTTTATAAAAACAACCAACCTCTCTCTCCAATCAGAATTGAATCCTTTTAAACATAATTTTTATATACCTTGTAAAACATTATATGATGATAATCATTCCATAGGAGTTAAGCACATTCAGGACTATGCGTAGTAGATCTGGTATGAAAATTTTAAAAATTCTCGAAATTAAATCGGTCTAATGGTGGAGAATTAGAGTTGCATGAGCTGAATTAAAAATTATTCAGAGTTTCCTTTTTTAGATATTTCTCGCAAGTCTTAAAGAAATAGGTCATGATGCTTACTTAAATACAATTGATATTATGCCTTTAAAATTAAATTTGGAGGACATAGTGATAATTAAAGAATTAATTAGTTAGTTAAGAATAAATAAATAACAATCGAATTTACATTCGATAGGTATAAAAATACTGATTTTACAAACAAAATAAATGCACCTATTTAGTTCCAGTGTATTATTTTAAATTTTTTCAAATGTATTTTAAAGATAATGTTAATAACTGTAACTCAGACAAAGGTGCAATGATTTTTTAATATTATATCGTAAAAAAACTAGACTTTATACTATATAAAGTATAGCAATCTTTCACCCCAAAATTATTTAAATAATTTATTTTTTTTTATCGATGGAATTCAAATGTGTATGCAAAAATTCACAGGTATTTAGCGCTAATAAATTTAATGGAAAAAGAGGAGAAGACAGAGACAACTTTCGATAAACACATTTATTTTGTAAATTCGATGAAATATCTCATACAATCACCGCAATTAATACAAATGATGCAAGGAGAGATTTAGTATCACGGAGAAGTTGAAATCATTTGCTAAGCAAATAAAAGTCTAGAGATAGATTTTTTTGGTTAGAGACAATTTAAAGATTATGGCTTCATCATGAATAAAAATTCATGTGTTTTGATAAGGTATCAAATTATAAATCTTAATTTTATGTAAAAAAAACAGGATGCATTGGAAATTAGACTACAAGGAGCATTTAAATTATTTGATTAACATTTACAAATCATCTCTTGATAGTAGTAGGTAACCAAAATGGAAATATTCTAGGTATATAATATAACTATTAAAAAAATTATTTGCAAAATTATTAATATGATTTAAAAATTATATTTTTTTAAAATCAAGAGAACTCCTCATATCTATTTATTATTAAAGAAAAGATAGTAGGAATGAACAAGAACTTTAATCTAGAGATTAGATTTTCAGCAAAAAGGACTTACAGATGCCAAGATATAAATCGACAATTAGAGAGGACGCATCTATACCACACTGGAGATCGCAATTTAGTAGTCAAAGATGTTGAATCCAAAATAGCTTCTGAGGAAAAATTAAAAGATGAAAATAATGGATTTTAATTTTAACAAACTAGAACAAAATATTTTTTTTAACACATATTTACCCACTGAAAATTTATATGTTCATATTTAGTATTAGAACTTGTAACATTTATATTGGAATTGTTGTTCAATGTAATATAATATAGAATAAAAGAAAAATAAATGATATATATTATTCATTGTCGTCAACAATAATGCGCAAGGAGATGATTAACCACCCACATTTATATTTTAACTGAGTTTGTTATAATATTGTATCATCGCCAAAAAGATACTCTGATTATTTTTTTATTTTGGTCAAATATTTTTAAATGTAGCTAATTAAAGGGAAGAGCAGGTATTATCTAATCCAATTTATTTATTTTTAAACCTATAGCTTAAAATTAAACATAAAATGTATATAAGGCCTATTTAGAAATATTTTTTGTAAACATCTCTAAATTTAAAAAAACCTTGGTCTAAATTATTCAAACACTTTTTAAAGAATTATCTTATTTAAATAATTTTTTTTTTCACACTTCAATAAATTATATCATCAACAAATGTTTACTGGCACTAACATACATAACCTTCTGGAGTCCACCTATCTATTTCCCGCTGATTTAAAACATGATGAATGATAGCCAGCTTCTATAAATAAAATAAATAAACATTTTAACTTCAAATAGATTAATATTACCGAGTGGTATGCTTGATGCATACAAAGCGTTGCGATTTTGTGAGTATTTCACTCTGAAATTATATAAAATTAAATCAGACCACTTTAGCTTTAAATGGAAGACCGAATGAAAAATTATTCGAAGTAAACATGTTAGATATTTCTCTATAAAGGAAAAACCTTAAGGAAAATTAGATGGATGATACTTATTATATGCAAAGACAGGCGCCTAACCAAAGGGAGGGTTCCCATTTCTCATGGAAATTTACCTCTTTTTAATAAATATTTCCTCCCTATACATCCCCATCCCCTCTACCCAAAAAATGCATGCAATATATTATATCAGTATTAGGTAATAACTTTATAATGACTATAATTCAAAATTTTTAGAAAAAACGAGCAAGTAAAAAAAAAGTGAAAACCCAAAATTGCTATAAAAATCAAAATTAAATTATGATAAATATCTCAAATGAAATTTATGCGGAGAAAACCAACCTAATAGTGCTTCCTAGTGGTCTACAATGGGCGGGGTTCTAACCAAAAGGCCCGCCCACTCTTTGTTTTGAATTTTTTTAGACAGCCAATTTACAACATTTTTTAAAAAATATACCCCCTCCGCTTCTTTTTATTTATTGACTTTAAAGTATATTTAATTAAACATATATAATATAAGAAAAAA